GGGCACATCCCCAGTGGGAGATGTGCAGGAGGCAGCTGATCGATGTTTCTCTCTCATCGATGTTTTTAGCTCTCTATCTCTCTCCCTTCCTCTCTGTAAAAAATCAATAAAATATATATTTTTTAAAAAGAAATATATATATATTTCAGAGAGGAAGGGAGAGAGATAGAAACATCAACGATGAGAATCATTGATCGGCTGCCTCCTGCACACCCCACACTGGGGATCAAGCCCGCAACCCGTGCATGTGCTCTGACCGGGAATCGAACCGTGACCCCCTGGTTCATAGGTCCACGCTTAACCACGGAGCCACTGGAGCCGGGCTGGGGGGAGTATCTTTAGGACACGCTGCATATGTGGAGGTAGAAGCAAGGTGCCTGGCTGGCTGCCTGGGCGAGTAGGGGATGGTGGAGCCTTCGTGGGCTCAGCGAGGCTGACGGGAGCTAAGACCCTTGTTCCAGAATATTGAGAGCGCCCTTCGAACAGCAGGGACCCGGCTGGGAAAATATTTGGGAAACAGTTTGAGAGGCAGGCAGGACTGGAGGGCAGCCCTTGGTGAGTGTCTGGGTGCCGCCGAGGAGGGTGGCGCGGCCTCACCTGCCCGGTCTGGGGGCACCCAGGACCCTTCTCGTGGCGGAGTGCCCTTGACCCTGGTGTACAGTGGTCATCCTCCACACCAGCCTGCAGCGCTCCGCTGCCGCCGTCTGCGAGTGGGCCGTGGCCATGCTGCTCTTCCTGCTCTTCGGCCTCCTGGCCGTGGACTTCTCCGGCCTGGAGGGCTGCACCCTGTGTCTCCGGCCTGGGCCCAGCCTTCTGACCCCGGCCCGGCCCTCCCGGCAGAGGACAGAGACCGATCCCGGACTCCTCCGTGCCCCCAAGATGCATCGCTGGGGACGAACCTTCAGGGATGAACCCTTGGGATGGACTTGAAAGAACTTGCCAGGCGCCGGCCAGTGTTGCTCAATGGTTAGAGCGCTGACCCCGGAGCCAAGGGTTGCCGGTTTGATTCCGATCAAGACCATGAACCTGGGCTGCAGGTTGGATGCCTGGCCCTGGCTGGGCGAGTGTGAGAGGCAACTGGTCGATGTGTCTCTCTCACATCGATGTTTTGCTCTCTCTCCCCCCTCCCTTCCACTCTGCGTAAAAGCAATGGAGAAATATCCTCGGGTGAAGATTGCCAACAACAACAGAGAATGTGCCATGGCTGCCCGGCCTGGGACCTAGTGGTGCGCACGTGGGGCCGGGCTCCGAACAGCTGCTGAGCTGGCATCTCCCTGCCTGTCCGCCACCCCTGCCCG